CTAGGGAAGCATGGTGCTCTATCTCTTCAAATCATTTTTTTTTTTGATGGGTCATATCCCCTTTCAGCACTGTGACCTTCTCTCTTACTCTGGGCAAGTGGACCTCTTGTACCATCTATCCCATTGGCAATGCTACGGGACATCAGCGTCCAGAGCATCATGCTCCTCTATCAGGGAAAAGGTTGGGGAATCTCTTCCCTAATCAGAGATGATTGAGAGGTGAGTTGTTGAGATATTACCTCAGAGTTTGATAGGTGTCCATATGGAGCATGCCGAAACTAAGGCTGATGAGTTTAAGAGCATAGAATCCCTACAGTGCAGAAAGAGGCCATTTGGCTCATTGAGTCAGTGAAAACCTTCCAAAGAGCATCCTAATCCACTCCCAACGTTTCCCATAGCTAACTCACCTAGCTTGGACCCTACAGGGCAATTTAGCATGGCCAATCCACCCTAACCTGCACATCTCTAGGCATTATGGGCAATTTAGCATGGCCAATCCACCCTAACCTGCACATCCCTGGGCACTATGGGTAATTTAGCATGGCCAATCCACCCTAACCTGCATATCCCTGGGCACTGTAGGTAATTTAGCATGGCCAATCCACCCTAACCTGCACATCCCTGGGCACTGTAGGTAATTGAGCATGGCCAAGCCACCCTGACCTGCACGTGTTTGGACTGTGGGAGGAAACTGGAGCACTCGGAGGCAACCCACGCAGACACGGGGAGGTTGTGGTCAGTCACCTGAGGGTGGAATTGAACCCTGGTGCTGTGAGACAGCAGTGCTAACCACTGAGCCACGGTGCCGCCCCATATGAACGGGAGGGAAAGGATTATCGATCTCTGGGATGAGAGAAGAAACCAAGGCTCTGTCTATTTTCTCAGATGGAAGCAAAAGATCCAACAAAAGGCAGGTGAGTTCTCTCTAGTGGCCCTGACTATTATTTACCCCTCGACCAATGTTGCTGAGGCAGTTATTTGGCTATTCCCTCAGTGCATGCCAGCTGGATGCCACCTTTTCCCACCTCGTCACTGTTCATTGTCTGCTCCCAGCAGCGTTGGGGTGCCCCGAGGATGTGACCGGCGTGGCACAAACGCATCTCCCTCCTGCTTCCTTCTGGGAGAATGTGTTGACTTCACTTGGGGCTCGAGCGTCTCTCACCTTCAGTTTCGCCCTCAGGGGGGGAAAACGTCACAGGCTGACTGCCGACTCAAAGGAGTTTCCATGTCCCGTAGGGAAGGCGAGATCTCCTGGGACTCCTCGGGAGGCGGGTATGGGGAGTTTGCCGACGATTCTTCCCGGGCAGACAGGAACCCAACCCGGTCTTCAACGTGTTCCTCTCTCCCCGCCCCCTGGGATCCTGTGACATTTACAGCAGGAAAAGCCTCCCCACCAGCCCACAGCCTCGAAGATGATCCTTTGCAGTTCCAGGAGTAACAGTCCCTGGAGCAGAAGTGGCTGGAATAACGGTCCCAGAGTGACTAATCCCTGGAGTAACAGTTCAGATGGTAACATATCCTGAGTAACATTCCCAGCGGAACAATCCCTGGAGTAACGGTTCAGACAATAACATCCCCTGGAATCAGGGAGTAACAGTTCAGATGGTGACATGTTCTGAGTACCATTCCCAGAGAAACAATCCCTGGAGGAATCATTGCGGACTAACGGTCCCTGGAGTAACAATCCCTGAGGAACAATCCTTGGA